GGTTACTGAACAAACATGACATTTGTTTTAGCTTATGTAAAATCCAAGTTTCTATTCAACTAAATTTATTCTGTTAAATTTTATTTCAATGTAATTATATTTTATACTACACATTAACTTCCTGCTTAAATGTGATTTCCAAAATTTTTAGGTAATCGAAATGTTGAAATATATTAAATTGACTTAGTTAAAAGGTAATTGCCAAAATAGATACTAAAACACTGATTACTCAGCATAATTTAAGTCTATGTACTTTTTGTATGCTCTAAAATAAAGGTAATAGCTTAAAGTCATCTTAACAAATGAGTTAATTTTTCCTATTTTATGAAGATCTAAGAGATATGTGCAGCTGTAGAAAGAAGTATTATCGGTATTCATAAGTTCTGGTTAATATGCTGTGCGTGACTGAAAGTTCCCAGTTATCCACCCTTCAGGTGTATTTTTTTCCCTGTCAAATTGATGATACTGAAAAAGCTACCCAATTTCCTTGCCTCCAGTTTCTACCACAACCAGTCCATATTGAAATCTCTTCCAGATTAATCCTTAAGTCTAGGATCAACTGTCGCAAGGCAAACTATTACCAAAATCCAACCCCATTTACTTTTATAGTTTCATTTCCTATTACTCTCCTATACAAAGCCCTTCCACTGTACCAAAAAAATGTAATCACTACTCTTGAAATGAGGTTGTCTCACTGATTATTCTATGGCCACAAGGCAAACCTACTCCAATAAACACATGAGAAACCTTTGCCTATGGTGGATCAAAACTTCATGTGGTAGAACCAAAGGGGTAATGGATTGTTGTTATTTCCTTGGATTAAATTATACATTGCTTTTAAATTACAAACATAGTGAGGAAAAAAAAGACTAGTATGATAATTTTTTTTTTAGAGGTGGGGGTCTAAAATAAGTGAGGAGAGTCTGGGAGAGCATTCCAAGCAACAAGTAAAATCCAGCTTAATGATTAAGAGTATATGCTTTTGAAGCAGACAAACAGGCTTCAAATCTTAGGTCTGCCTCTTACAAGCAGTGTGACCTCAGACTGCACTCAGTCTCAGTTTGGGGTATGACACGACCTCCCAGTAGTCCTGGGAAGATCTGAAAAGAAAATGAATTATACACATAAAGCACGTACTACAGTGCCTAGTACGTGGTAAGAACTAAACAAAGAGCTTCAGTAAAATTATAGCTACTGAGGCAGGTTCATACCCAGGGAAAAAGCTGTTTAGGAAGTGGACATTTGGTAAAGGAAAGTAGTAAAAGGTGAAGAACGGTGAGAAATGCACACAGAATACTTACATCTGCCGTACTGTTCAATATATTCAACAAAAAGCATATAGCAAAACTATTCCTCAAGGCCCTTGGCTAGATTCCTACCTAAAGCTTGGTTTCTTTAGCTATAAAGTGAGGTAGTAAGAGCAAATGGTATCTGAAGTTCCTTTCAACTCTAACCTTCAGATAGACTGCAAGAACTGCCGTGAACTGGAATCCTAGGGGTTATGATGTTCATTATCACCACATGGTTAACTGCTTTTGTATTTCATCAGGAGTGTGAGGACTCAGTGATGCTCCACTGACCTCACAAATCTCAGAAACAGAACAATTCTGCCTCAACTAAAAAATTCCAAGCACCAGGTTTTCAGTCATAAAGAGGAACAGCCATACTTGGTCTCACTGCAAATTTTGCTACATCTTGGCCCCAAAACTACATTATCGCCCTTATTAGAATGCAAAGTTAGGAGCCTCACCTGAAAATTTTTAGGGGTAGTTTAAACAAGTGGTAGAAATTTTTTTTAAAAAGGACCTGAATACGGAGGGACAGAAGGTTTGTTCCTGGGTCAGTAGGTCAGAGAATTGGGAAGACTGAGAAAAGGACAGTATTTCAGAAGGGCTAACTGAGCGAGCAGGCTTCTAACTAGACACTACAGGAACAAAGCCAAATAAGTTTCTTATTTCCAAGTCCTGACTTCACTACAGGGACTTATTTTTTATACTTAAGATTTTTTTTCCATTTTTTTATTTTTTTGTTTATTAAATCATAGTTGTGTACATTAATACTATCATGGGGTATAGTGTGTTGTTTCCATATACAATTTGAAATACTTTAATCCAATTGGCCAACATAGCCTTCATGTCACTCTCATAGTTGTTGTGTTAAGACATTTATATTCCACATTTAGAAAGATTCACAGAGAAATGCAAATCAAAACTACTTTGAAGTATCATCTAACACCAGTAAGATTAGCCCATATCACAAAATCCCAAAATCACAGATGCTGGCATGGTTGTGGAGAAAAGGGAACACTTCTACACTGCTGGTGGGATTGCAAACTAATATGCCCCTTTTGGAAAGTCATCTGGAGAACAGGTAGATAACTAAAAATAGATCTGCCATTTGATCCTATAATTCCTCTGCTAGGTATATATCAAGACGACCAAAACTCACACTACAATACAGATATTTGTGCTAGAATCTTCATTGCAGCCCAATTCATAATTGCTAGGTCATGGAAGAAGTCCCAAGTGCCCATCGACCCATGAATAGATCAATAAATTGTAGTATATGTTTACTTAAGGTATTTATGAAAATACTTTTTCAATAAAAAAATCTATGAATGAAATCAAATTAAAAGAGTATATACCCTCTTTTTATGTGAAACTATGTCAAGAGTTGCTCTAATTAATATTAAACATGCTCATTTAAATGACTTTTTCAGTGTCATTTCTAAATCTTTCAAATTGACTTTCACTTCTAGAAAAGTATTCTTTCATATGTCTATAGGCTTAGTTCTAAATGAATTGGTTTACACATATACTCTTATCTGTTACCATGTTTGTAAACTGTGAGGATTACATCAGTGAACTCAAATTGTAGTAAGTTTGTGCTACTATAATTTTAACAGTGACAAGACTATGTTATGCCATTTCTTTCAAGATAAAAGAAAGGAACTTGCTCCTCAGGTGTCTGGCAAAAAGTACTTATTTCTGTCAGAACTGAATTTTGTATAATATAAGACCTGAAAATATATATGAAATTACTAGAAGAAAACATAGAGGAAATGCTTCAGGGCACTGGTCTAGGAAAAGATTTTATGAAGATGACCTCAAAAGCACAGGCAACAAAAGCAAAACTGGACAAATAGGATTGTATCAAACTAACAAGCTTCAACACAGCAAAAGAAGCAATCAACAGAGCAAAGAAACCCCCAGCAGAATGGAAGAATATATTTGCAAACTATACATCTGACAAGGGATTAATATCCAAAGTATATAAGGAATTGAAACAACTCAACAGCAAAAAAAATAAAAATAAAAATAATCTGATTTAAAATGGGCAAAAGTGCTGAAAAGACATCCATAAAAAGAAGACATATAAATGATCAACAGGCATATACAAAAAAGCTCAACATCACGAGTCATCGGTGAAATGAAAATCAAAGCCATAATGAAACATCGTCTCAGCCCAATTAGAACAACTATTATCAAAAAGACAAAAAATAATAAATGCTGATAAGAATACCAAGAAAGGGGAACTCATACACTGTTGATGGGAATGCCCAGTCATTAAGGAAAATAGTATGAATGTTCCTCAAAAAACTAAAAACAGAACTACTGTATGAATCAGCAATCCCACTAGTAAGTGGGTATATATCCAAAAAAAAAAAAAGGATATCAAAGAAATGTCTGTACTCCCGTGTTTATGCTGCACCATTCAGCATAAGAAAGGAACCACAAAGATAGGGAATGAACCTAAGTGTACATTCACAAAAAATGAATGGTTAAAAAATGTGATAAATATACAGAACAGAATACTATTCAGCTCATAAAAAAGAACAAAATCATGTCATTCTGGCAACATGGATAAGTTTGGAGGACATTATGTTAAGTGAAATAAGCCAAGAACAGAAAGATAAATATCACATGTTCTTACTTGTATGTGGAAGCTTAGAAAACCTATGTGATAGTAGAAAGATAATTCAAGATAATTCCTAGAGGCCAGGCTGGGTAAGCAGGGGGAAAGGATGAGGAGGACAGCCAGAGGTTGGTTACTGGACATAAAAGGAAAGGAAACATGTAGGAAATAAGAGGAAACATGTTCCAGTGTTCCATAACACTGCAGTATGACCATGATTAACAATTTAGTATATATTTTAAAAAGCTAGAAAAATGGATTTTGAATGTTCCTAACACAAAGAAATGATAAATGTTTGAGATGATACATATGTCAACTACCCTGATTTGATCATTATACACTGATACACGTTTCAAAATATCACAACGTACTTCACAAATATGCACAATTATGAGGCAATTAAAATAATAATAGCAAAAAAATTGGCAAAATGTTTAAATTTGTATTGTTAACTATATATTATACAATTCAACCTCAAAGTGATAAATCTAGTATAATATAAATTTGAGAAGATTTTTCTATTTATATACATGAGGTAAAACTACTTCATTTGGGTCATACAAAATATTAAGGAACTATACAAGACTGTGTTTTAAAATACAAATGGAATAAATCCATTTAATATTATAGCCCTCCCATACCATATCCTTTTAAGAAAGTAAAGCTATAGATAAAAACAAGAAAATGCTGACAATTTAAATTCTATATGTAAATGATTCAGCCATTACGGTGAGAAAGAGAGAAGTGATTGCTTACATCTGTTGCACCTAATTCTAAATAGACAAAAATACTAAATAAACATGGATTCAACATAGATTTTATATCATCAAGTTTTTTTTTGATGGGGAAACTTCTTAATGTTTTTGAATATATATTCTACAGATATATTAAGAGAGTATAAAAATATATTAAAACTTAAACAAAACTTCATCACTCATCTACTTAGGAGTTTTGCACGTAATGTCCTTTTTTGTCCTTAAGTTGATCAAGAGAAAATAATTGTAGCTACTCGTGTGTAGCAGTAGTAGCAGCAGCAGCAATAACAGTAATTTAAATGTTATTTTTAAAAATTATGTGGTTCCAACCTGGTCTCCAAAGTCCTCTGGGAATTTCCACAAGACCACAGGATCTGTAAATAATTGACACATATCATTAAACAGAGGCAAAAGAACACATTTAAAGTACCAGTCTTGGTTAAATACTCTTAAAGTTGTCAAAGCTACTTTGATTATAATGTTTAAATTTCCCTTTAAACATTTCCAATTGATGAGATTCACTTCTTTTCCTTGACCAAATTAAATATTTTGATTTTTCAGAGTTTTAATGACCTTTGGAATAAAGCAAATGAAATTAATAACTAGGTCAAGTTATTAAAAACCCTGTTGCATTTCTTTTTTTTTTTTTCCTGCAGTTTTTGGCCGGGGCAGGGTTTGAACCTGCCGTCTCCGGTATATGGGGCCAGCGCCCTACTTCTTCGAGCCACAGGCACTGCCCCCATGCTGCATTTCTTTCAGCAACTAACTTTTATTTCCATATCTTAGAATTAAAGATTCTGAACTTTAAATTTTTCATTTAAACTATACTCACAAAAACATTGGTTTTAATTTGAAAAGAAAAATACAAATCTGGTAAATATGTAATCAAATATATTTTACCCCTGACAGACCAGACCAAAATATAACATTTCCACTTAAAATCCCAAGTAAGAACTTATAAAAATTGTAATAATGTTTGCTTTGTATCAGTTTTTTAAATCCCACAGTTTGTAATAACAGTTAATTTGGAAGGCAATTAAAGCAGCTTATTTAGACTATAATAGTTATTTATAGGACATTACATAGAAATTTTTCTAATATGTTAGTTATATCTAGTAATTCATATGAATCAGTATTATTTTACGTTCACACCAGCTTTTTGTTTCTTTTATTTCTCACAGTCTTTCTCTTTTATTTCACATAATAAAATGAAGTTTTAATTGTAATAAGCAGTAATCAATATTTTGGTCATATGCTTATTTTTTAATTTTGTCAAAAATTTCTGAATATTTTCAGTACCCCAAAAAGGTAGAGTATGATAAATTATTACTTCTGCCAAAAAAACCTTTGAAAGCCCAAGATAAAACTAGTATGAATAACAAGTACCACCTATGTGACAGAGTTTGAATCCACTCCACGTAAAATGACTTAGTGGATCAAAGATTCCTTACTCTGTGTACACAATCACAGGGAATCACAGCTCTATTCCATTATGCCTCCTATTTTATATTGCTTTCAGAAATATAACTGAAGGATGTATAATTTTATTCTGAAATTTTATTTCTAAACCTCAGTAAGCATCTAGCAACATTTTTAGCATGAGTTATTACCTCTTCCTGTGTTTTTAAGTTTAACAGAATTTTTTTCAAGTATTTTAACTTAAAAAGAAAAGAGCATGCTTTCTTTAATTAAATTTCACTTATTAAGAAGTAATAAACTTCCATATAATATAAACAAATCATTTAAAACAGCTCATATAAAAATAATGTATTACAAATGTATAAACATAGTATAAAATGATTATGTCCTCAATAAAACAAAATGTATACACTTCTAAAATATGTGTGAAATACATTACACATCACCTTAAAATACTTGAATATTAATGTCCTATGGATAAATATGTTCCCAACTGGGAAAAAATATACATACATTTATATGGCAATTTTACTAAAATGGTAGCTATTAAGATTTGCATCACATAAAACAAAAGTATATGATGGATTCTCCATCAAATATGAAAAATATGAAACAAAAGTTATTGTCTTGCAAAATTAATAAAATAACTAGTAGCCATAAAAACAAATCATCACGCAGAAAGGTAGAATAGTCCTTTCTCATAAATAATGGAATTAAAGGGTTTCAATGTGAATATTGCAAACATCCTTTTAAAACAACCTCAACTTTGTAGCTCTCATTTGAGAAAATGTTTGTGACAAGTTTCTGACATGTTGCTGTGTAGCCCTTATTGTCTGCAGCAATTACCGAAGTATGTTTTGCTGTCTCACTTTTACTTATCTCTTACTCTACCATTTTTTTTCTGTATAAGCTACTTTTTCACATAGGGAGAACAAGTGAGTATATGAAAATAGCATCTATTGGTTTAATCACAAAGAGGAAAATATCCTTTTTCTTTTCACTAAATAAATTTTATCCCTCAGCGCTCAAAAATTTCATAATCATGTGCATCCATATTTCAAAATGGATTAACTTGGTTACTGCCTATGCGATTAGATTTAGGCCACATCTGACACTTCTCTGTAGCAACTTTTCAGAAGTACTGCAAAGGAAGAAACAAAAGGGCTCTGAAAAAAAATAATCCGATTCGACAACTTTATGCACAAAGACTGAATTTTCTGTTCCCTGAGGATTACTTTCCAGATACTCGATCTGATCTGGCAATGTTAGGTCAATTTTATGCTGATTTTATGGGTGAAAGGATGAGAACTGCTGGTGGGAATCATCACTGCCAGTGACAACTGATGTACACTGTTTCTCTTCTTTTGAATATCCACTAGCAATTCAAAAGACACTCCATATCTTAATTAAAAAACATTCTGTTGCCAACAATCTAGAAACCAAGTAAATATAAAATATATAATGTGATTTTGACATAAAGATAGTGAATCTCTTAGTAAGAGATCTTACAGTGTAGTAAGAAATTAAGATTTAAAAAATTAAGAAAATTAATTTCTTGAGACATTAAGATTTGCATCACATAAAACAAAAGTTTTATTAAGTCAATAAATTTAAAAGGTGAATATTTTAAGTATGGTTTGGGTACCACCATTTCAAGGATTTCAAATATCTTAAGCCTTTTTTAAAATGTAAGTATGATAAATTCAGCAATATTTTATTTCTTTCCCAATCAGATATTTCACATTTTCTAGCCTTTAATTAAAATGAAAACTAAAATGACTTAAAATATTAGTTTGATTCTACTCCACTATAAAATAAAAACACAGAAAAAATTTCTAATTTGCATAAATATTTGCTTAATTCTATGGAATTCAATAATGAATTAAATATACCATATCTTTAAAATTATACAATTATAGAAGTAGAATCCAGGGACTACATTTAAAAAAGTAGAATGTATACTCCCAGTATTTGATTTTAGTTTTCAGGACTTGATTTACCTACAGTGTAGAATGAGATCTTTATATGTGAGGAATTAAAGTCAAAACAATGAGTTTGTCTTAGCCATACGTCTAACTAATGCCAGAGACTAGAACTTTCTTAACTGAGATGTAAAGAGCACTTATTTTAAATAATTTCCAATAATCCATATATTTTTGTGGCACATTTAATTAACTTCATTTAATTTCATTAAAAACTTTTATGTAATGCTACACAAACAGAAAAAGTACCCTATAACACCCATGGAGAGAAATGTCAACGGGCCATCTAACTGTTGTTCTAAGCATTGTTTTAAGCAAGGTTATCGTGTAGCAACATTTGAACTGAACTTGAAGAGTCACTGGCTTACTAACGTCAAAAAAACAATGCTATGAAGGAATGATGTCTTTTGAGCATAAATGAGCAAAAACCATTACAGAGAATGTGTGATTTTTATTCTTTCACCTGTAGAGATATAATAGTGAATGAGGTAAAACAGGGTCCTTACCACTTATAGAAAAGAGAAGCATCAAAACATATATAATACAATAAAACTTGATGCATTTTAATGCTGAAAGGAGCACATGATAAGAAAATCTAACCTAATTTAGAGAGTCACTAAAGGACTTTAGAAGGAAAGGACAGGTAAGTTGACATTTAGTATTAGGGAAGTAAAGGCTGATTTATGCTCTAAAGAAGGCAAAAAAAAATTATAGAGTGGAGAACCAATATGCAAGAAATCTTAGAGGTTAAAAGAAAGCAGAATATATTTTAGGAACTAAGAAAAAAACACCAATATATCTGAAATGTAGATTAGGAGGGAGACAACACCAAGGGACAAAGCCAGACTGGGAAGGAAAGCCAGTGAAGACGACAGCAGCATAAACCAAGTAAGAAAGGACAACCAGAAAGGTACGGAGAATGCAGCTGAAGTGTGTACTGCTTAAAAGTTGAGGGAAGGGAGTGCATCTAAAAGAAATTCTCCAAAAAATGCTGCAAAACCCTAAAAACTAATGAACGAACAAGGCAACTATATTTAAAAACATAAAGCCACAGTAATACAGGCTTTAACGCAAAGGCAGGAAGAAGGATGCAAATTTAGGATTATGAAATGAGTATAGGAAAGAGACACTGTGTGGAGGTAATTTATTAAAGAAAGGCTATAAAAGGCAAAAGAAAGTACAGGTAGATGGAAAGATTAAGCTGAATAGATTTGCTGCTGCTGTTGTTGTTTTTAATTTTAGACTGGTACAGACTTGACCATATTTAAAGGCTGACAAGAATTACTGAGCTAGCAGAGATCCAGTAAAGAAGAAATATAAGATTTCTTGAGAAGACAAGTGGAATCCTGATGGAGACAGTGAGATAAGCCTTAGACAGAAACTGGAGTTCACCTTCCACTGTTACAGGAAAAGGAGAAGAGAAAGTGATAAATCTAAGTAAATTCGTAGAATTTGTGGTACAAAGATTAAGAATTTTGTGTAAATATTGCTAAATTTTTTCTACTTAGTAGGAAGCTCTCTGGAGCAAAGCTCTCTGCTAAGAGAAGTTGTTGGAGGTTTAAGATGGAGGTGTGAATAACTGTTTCAGGCAAGGTTGAGCACTCAATTTAGGTAGATGTGCAACCTGGCATTTAATGGCAACAAAGTGGCATTTCCCCCATCATCATCCAACAGCGTAGATGGAAGAGATAATTGGTAGATTCAGTCAGGGTTGAGGTTTCTGTCATAATGGAAAGAGAACTTAAATAGAATAGTCACAGATATGAATTATTTAGCTAGAACTAAAAAAATGATTTTTTTCTGTAAAATCCTTTAGTACTATATTATATACCCAAACACAAAAACATATTTTAAAATAGCACATTTTCAGTTGAATATATAGTATATGAAAACTATGGGATTGAGAATAACATGAAATACATAACTGGAAGTATAGGTAGGAGTGTAAAATTAGGCAGTGAAGTTCTGTCTTC